CTGTGGCACGCATTGCCATCTGAGGGCCTTCCGACCAAGTCGGGTGGATGGTTTGGGAGGGGGTATCCTAATGAGATTTTTTTTTCAAATAGGACCTCTGGATATCCAGAAATGGCGCTCTCTCAGACTGGAAAAACACTCTTAAGTATTTGATAAAGTACAATTAAGATCTATAAACTCAGCTCAATAAACACTCATTTCATTAGGCCTATTTTTTTTTTTTTTGGTCCGACTGCCCAACAAACTCTGGTCGTCGGAGTGCTTGACATGTCCCATGGGGGTCTACAGCACCCCCCCCCCCCGGATAAGAGACAGCCCCCCCCCGACACCTCGGCTGCCGCCGCCTGGTGTTATATTTAAATTTAACATGATACTAAGGAAAAGGTAAGAAGTTAGGATTTATACACAATAGGCCTACACTAGGCCTAAATACATAGTAGTTTGGCCTAGCCCCCCAGGCCTACATCTGTCCTAGCTAGCTAGTTAGGCGGGCCTAGGGCCTACCTAAATACAGAAATTGTAAATATTTGTTTGGTCCCGGGGTCTGTCTTCCTCAGTTTATTGAATTGACCCATTCGGATCTCATTTTCCTTCTAATTTTGACGTCTTCCACAGCATCCTCGACATCACCGCAGCTATGTTGACGTCGTTCCACTTGGTTGCTTCCTTTGACCCCGACGCTTTGTTCCCCGGACGCGATGTGAACGCACAACCGGAAATCGTAACCGGGCCCGGATTCCGGTCCGGACTCCGGACCGGAATCCGGGCTTGATGTGAACGTAGCTTTAACCATTATGTTTTTAGTACTAATTTCACACTTGCTGCATGTGTATAGACCTAGTCAAAGATATACTGCAAGAAGAGTAACGCTATGCCTAAGTAAGTTAGGGTACTGGTATAATCTATTTTTGTTGGCTCAACACCGATTTCAACAGTAATTGTGGTTCACTTTCTGTAGAAAAACAATACTGAAAATAAACAGAAATAATACTTACTCAAGATGTTAATGAGAATATGTACCATATCAGTGCCTAATTCATTGGCAGCAATAACTGTATAGTTTCCAGCATCGACATTGGTGATTTTACTGATAGATAAGATCGTTTCCCTCTCAGTTTCCTTTATTTCAAATCGTCCACCATCAACTATATCGCGACCACTGTGCTCCCAAGTTATCGTTGGCCTAGGTACGCCAGTGACTGAAACACGGAGCTTTAACACTTCTCCTTCTAGGCAATACAGTGGTGATCGCAATCTTGTCGGAAGTGAAAGTCGCGGTGGCACTAAATGTAAAAGACAAAATGCGATATTAGGAATAGTGACGTATTTTCAATTTAACTTCAAACTCACGTGATATGAACAAACTTTAGACTTTCTGTTCTAAACCAAAACATTAATTCATAATCGTCCTTAGCAAAATTATAAAAAAAACCCACCAAAATACTTTACTCTAACCTTTAATTTGAACGTTGGCAGTTGCTATTCTCATCCCAGCTTTGTTGACTGCCTTTACCATTATCTCGCCAGTGTCTTCTTCATAGACTTCATTGATCGTGATGGTACACACCTTTCCAAAGCTTTTCATTTCATATTTGCGACCATCATGCAACTCCCTGCCATATCGATACCATTTGCAAACCGGCAGAGGGTAGCCTCTAACCTCCACTTCAATTGTTCCGGACTTACCCTGTGCAACAGATATAGTGTGGGGCACCTTCACAATCTCAGGTTCGGTAGACTCTGAAAATGTAAATAATCAACATAATATGTATACCTATAGTTGATTGTAACGGTAAAAGCTGGCTGTGGATGTGAGCTACTTTCTGCATGTTTGTATAAAAAAAACTTACCTCTAGGGTCTTTTGCTACTACACGCTGTGATGGTTCACTCGGTATGCTCAAACCAGCTCTATTTTCAGCAAACACTCTAAACTCGTATTCACTTTCTTCAATGAGATTTTCAATGACGTGATCGGTAGTTTTAACTTCTGATCTATTAGCACGGAACCAACGTGTGCTTGTAGTCTCACGCTTTTCAATAACGTAACCAGTGACTTTGCTTCCCCCATCTGAAGTCGGTGCTGTCCATGAGAGATGAACGGAATTTGCTTGTACATTTCTAAGTGTTGGTTTACCAGGGGCAGATGCAACATCTATATATTGAAAGATGCAAAATTCATTTATTCATTTATTCATTCATTTAGTCTTTATTCAGCCAACAACATAAACAAGTGAATCGAATACAATTAAAGAAAATTTACTAAATATAATATATGACATTATGGATTTTGAAATTTAAAACTGATGATAGAGAGATGACCAATATCATGGAACATCTTATATCAAACTGTGGTTCTTACCAAATGGGCTCTTTGCTTGAATAGATTCTATGCCTTCTAATGGAGCTCCGATACCATCAATATTTTCTGCAGCTATTCTAAAGACGATTGAAATGCCTTGTCGGAGTCTGGAGACAGTAAACGTTGTAGTCGCAGACGTTCCGACCTTCTGCCAGGCATGTTTGTCGGCTTCTCGCATATCAATGTGATAGCGCAATACTTCATTTCCTCCGTCATCTTTTGGTGGTTGCCATGCAATAGCAATTGAGTCCTTCTTTACCTCCTCAGCGGTGATTGGTCCACTTGGTTTCCCGGGTTTGTCTGTAACATAGGTAGGTTTAACACATTCAATAAAACATCTGCCTTCAAATTAATATATACATATATATATTATAAAGCAAAATATATATTAAAAGGCAATACACTGAAAAACAACAATGCTGTGGAAAACAATGGCTGGATCTCAGTAGAGACACAAAAATGATAAGCAACAGCTAAAAAGTAAACGTAAGTAAACAGCCAGAAATAGAACCAGAGCTTTCCGTCCAACACTAGTCCGTCCTCAGTGGCGAGTGAGTGAGGGTAGAAAAAGCTAGATGGTATAAAGTGAGAATTTCATGCAAGCATGATTGGAAACAATAGGCTGGGTGAGATTAGAATAAACAGCCTAAACAAGTAAACAGGAAGGCCAAACCAAAACTTTAGAGGCAAGCCTCAATAAATAAGCCAACTGATTTATCCAGAATAAATTGAA